ATAGAACCCCTGCCTTCTAAAGGAAGGTGACCTAGCCTGAAATAACCCACTCTTTGCTAATAATGTCCTTGTCTTGCCCCCTTCTGTCTATAAAAATCTTCTATTTTGTACAGCTCCTCAGAGCTCCTTTGTGTTTGCTAGATAGGATGCTGCCCAACTCATGAATCATTGAATAAAGCCAATATGATCTTTAAAATTTACTCAGTTGAATTTTTTTTAATATAATGTAGGAAGGTTTCCCTGAAGAAGTATGTTCCAGAGAGTTGGATGTCATGTAACAGATAATACAGAGCCGACCCACAGGAACTGAACCAGAAGGAAGTCAAAAATGCATAAAATAATGTGAGCAAAGAAACTGGTAGACATATGGATATATCTAAATTAAAGTATTGAAATTAAATAAGACAACAATATAATAGTTAAAAGAGAAAGTTAAAACAATATAGAAGAAAAATACAAGACAATAATAATTTGAAAGATGAGAAGATGAACAGAGGTCCTTGAATTAATTAGGAGACGGGTAAAGATACTAATAAGCCACATATTGATGCTAAAAATGTTAAGAGTAATCAATGAGGGGTGCCTGGGTGGCTCAGTCGTTAAGCGTCTGCCTTTGGCTCAGGTCATGATCCCAGAGTCCTGGGATCAAGCCCCACATGGAGCTCCCTGCTCGGCGGGAAGCCTGCTTCTCCCTCTCCCACTCCCCCTGCTTGTGTTCCCTCTCTCGCTGTCTCTCTGTCAAATAAATAAATAAAATCTTTAAAAAAAAAAAGAGTAATCAACGAACAGAAAAACTTCCAAACTAGTGGAGGGAATCCAGGAGATGAGAGAAAAAAAATCCAAAAGGTGGAAGAAAAGAAGAAAAAGGAAATAAAAACATAGAGAAAAGCAAAGAAAAGGCATTTTAAAGTGGAAAAGAATATGCTCAAGTAAATCAAAATGCAATTAATCTTGATAAATATACATAGATTAAGCTTGTCAGTTACACTCTCAGAATCCATATACTATCTTTAGAAGATACAGCTAGAGTATAATAATCTATAATAATAAAATTTAAAATATAGAAATATATATACCAAAAACTATATGAAAGCTAATTTAGTTCTACTAGAATCAAGCCAAATAGACCTTAAGCAAAAACAATCATTAGGGACAAAGAAAGTGAGAAAATAATGTTGAGGAAATCTCCCAGACAGGATAGCAAAAATAGAAAGTGCTGGAAACAGGAGAGAAGAGAAAAAGAAAATTAGAGGACTAGTCCAAAAGGTACAATATCTGAATAAAAGGAGCTCCAGCAAGAAAAAAGTGGGGGAGAAGGGTGGAGATAATCATCATAGGAAAAAGAAATTAAGACATAAAATGTGCTTTTCCAGATCGAAAAGGGCCACCATCAATGCCCAGTCAAACTGATGAAAACGGACCCACACTAAGGCATATCATCAGAAAGATTCAGAACCCCGGGACAGAGAGGATACATCAAACTTCCAAAAAGAGCACAGGTCACATGTAAAGGGTCAGAAATCCTAATTATCTCTAGCCTAGAGTATTATAGTTAGCCAAAGTCAATCATGTGGCAGGGGGGAATAAAGAGATTTGTTTAAGAAAATGATGTTGATCGAATATTGCTCGCACCAATGTAATGAGAGAAGATGTAGACAGTTGGCAGAGAGTTTAGTGTTTGAATTAGTGATAAGTACAAAAAACTAAGCAAACAATAAATCCAGCTATTTATCAACTCTGAGGAAAGTGCAGAAAAACAATCATAGCATGTTTAAGGTTCCATCATAAATAGCATATTTGTAGTCATAATGATATTTATTGACCCAAAAGAATGATATACCTGTATTGTGAGAATGAGGTGATGAGAAGAGTGCATGGACATAGTAAGGGCTAGAACCTCAAATACCACATTGAGAAGTCAAAGACAAGGCCTAAAACTGAAAAACCAAGAGGTAGGTACATAATCTTTTTGTTTGCTGACATGGAAGCAAATAATAAAAGAATCCCCTAAACAATTTGAAAGTGGTTGCCTCTAAGGCCTTTTTTTCTTTTTTCTTCAAAATGAGATATTGTCAATCATTCTTCATAGAAGTTTTACCAACTTATAGTCCCTTGAGCAATGTATGAGAGTGCCTGGACCATCACTTTATCAGTTCCGGTTCCGTACGGAGTGCTGCCAAATCAGGGTTAGAGGTGCAAGTTTTACTGAGATAAAGGTCTGGGAAAGATAATGGAGGAGGGAGGGGTCTTCAGACCAAAATGCGGGTCTGACATGGGTGAAGGGGTATTGGGTAGAAGAGCGTCAGACCCAGGTAAATGGGGAGCCCCAGAGCAAAAGTTACTCAACAGAGGAGTCTTGTGTTGAGAAGGACTAGACTAAATTATAATATTGCCCCCATTCTTAATTATCGGCTAAAAGTAGCCTTGGGGAAATATGGCCTCAGTGTGTGAACTGCAGCAGATGAGAAAATGCAGCAGTTGTCAGTCAAAAAAAAAAAAAAAAAAGGCCTGGGGGGTTGGGGAATGGGTTAGCCTGGTGATGGGTATTAAGGAGGGCACGTTCTGCATGGAGCACTGGGTGTTACACGCAAACAATGAATCATGGAACACTACATCAGAAACTAATGATGTAATGTATGGTGATAAACATAACATAATAAAATAAAATAAAATAAGCCTTTATTTATAGCATTTTAGGCTTTCTAACTGTAAATACTCCCACTGCGGTCAGTTTCAAGCTACTAGTGTGACAGGGTAATGACTCACCGAATGAATGCTGAGTTTGGAAAAGATGCTAACAATTGGCTTTCCCAAACTGTGCTCCAGACAGCAGGTTTCCATGAAGGATGAGCTAAGCAGTGCACCTTCTTAGCTACTATACTCACCAACCTAGTGCGTTAACAGAGTTTTTACTGCAACAGTGTGATAAGTGAAAATGGTATGTCGGTGTAGTTTGTAGTCTTACTCTGCATTTTACTTAATATGCCTAAGGCTGAGGATCTCTTGATATATTTATATATTATGTTAAATGCATTTATTATTTTGTAACATATTTACTGTATTTTCTATGAGCTGAGCCAATCTTTTGATTATTGTTATTAAAATCCTTTTATGCCTATGTTCTAAATAATTGAAATCTTAATATATTGATCTTAATATATTAATTCAGATAGTAAGTGAAATACAAATACTGCTTATCATCTCATCATATTTCACATTTTCAAAATTAACTCCTTTTGACCCCTTTCAGAGGGTAAATAGGAAAGAAATAAATGTACCTTTAAAAGCATGTGTAAATGGAATCTAACATTAGGAAACAATTTACTATAATTCCTCCTTTTTCCGTAATTTTTAAAGTAATGTGTATAGCATCAAAACACAGTATCTACACTAAACTTTCAGGGAAATAGTTTTTTTTAATATTATTAAAGTTAACTGAGTGTAGAAATTTTATGGGGAAAAAGTCACTGAATAGTTTCTATCTACCTCCCAACATACGTAGAGTAACAACAATATAGTAGAGAATTTTCCATCTGAGCAGTCTACAAGGACAGAGTAGAATCTTTAGGGAAATTAAGTTTGTAATATTATCATTATGAACACATTTTAATAATAGATGCATTCTATATTGACTCATTTTTACATTATTAGTTGAGATTATTGGTTGCATCCTATCAGCTTGCTGTAGCAAGTTGGAAATCATCCACTATTAAGTTAAAAGCTACGAAGCTCTGGATGAAGTGGTCTTTTAAGATATTACACATTTTTAGGGACACCTGGGTGGCTCAATCGGTTAAGCATCTGCCTTCAGCTCAGGTCATGATTCCAAGGTCCTGGGATCGAGTCTCACTTTGGGCTCCTTGCTCAGCGGGGAGCCTCCTGCTCCCCCTGCTTGTGTGCACTCTCTCTCTGACAAATAAATAAATAAAATCTTTTTTAAAAAAAGATATTACACATTTTTAATATCTTTTAAGATTAATTTTTTTAGAGAGAGAGTGTGTGCGAGCAGGAGGAGGAGCAGAGGGAGAGAGAAAGAATCCTCAAGCAGACTCCCCGTTGAGTACAGAGCCCGATGCAGGGTTCAATCCCAGAACGCTGAGATCATGACCTGAGCTGGAACCAAGAGTCGTCTGCCCAACCAACTGAGCCACCCAGGTGCCCTCCACATTTTAAGTATTTCTAGTTGTGTAGGTAATACTGAATGAACGGGACCTTGAACTAGGCCAGACATCAGAAGTCATCCAATACAGTCTTTAATCACAAATGTACTTAGACAAAATTTAAAACAAAGGATATAAAGAAGAAACCAAACAGGCAAAAATTTGAGGATTTTCCATAAAAGTTTTTTTTTTTTAATGTTAACTCAAGCACTGCTACCATATATATCTGGAGAGGAAGAGTCAAAACATCTATGGATGCATAGAATGCTACTGTTTTCCAAAGAAAATACATCTATTTCATCTCTCTTAATCAATTACCTAATTCATAACTGTATTTGACCCCCAAATGCTCTGCTTTTCTTCTGTTCCACCTCCTCCAACCACAACCTCCACTTCTTCAAACCACAACATCGAACCACAACCACTGTCTTAGTAATTGGTATTATCAACCAGAAATCAAGAAAAAGATGCAGATGAAAATTAAAGTCATTGAATAATATAATTTATAGCAAGTAGGGTGAAAGCTGAAAGTGGTGGCTAAAAAGAAGTTTGGATTGGGGTGCCTGGGTGGCTCAGTTGTTAAACGTCTGCCTTCGGCTCAGGTCATGATCCCAGGGTCCTGGGATTGAGTCCCGCATCAGGCTCTCTGCTCAGCGGGGAGGCTGCTTCTCCCTCTCCCACTCCCCCTGTTTGTGTTCCCTCTCTCACTGTGTCTCTCTCTGTCAAATAAATAAATAAAATCTTAAAAAAAAAAAGAAGTTTGGATTATCTGCACACTCCTTTTATCTTAATTTTCTCAAAACATACGGTCCACAGTACTCAGAAAAAAAAGAAACTTACCTCATCCACATTTTCAAAGGCATTGATGATGTCATAAGGTAAACAAGACAACAGATCGATCACAAACCAAGTTTTCAGATAGTTCATCCTTATCAGCTTGGGGTCAGAAATGACCTCTCCACCAGGTCCCACAAAAGTCGTGTGAAAATTTAAAACAATATCAACCAGAAAGATAACGTCCACCACACTGTCCAGCACCAGCCAGGCTATGTTGTTCTGCTTCGTTTTGAAGGAAACGTTATAAGGAACCATAATGGCGGTGTAGAAGGTAAGAATTAAAATCACCCAATCCCAAGTAGTTTTAAAAGCACAATAGTGTAAAATAATGTGTGGTGGCGTCTTTGGCGCTTCTTGCTTATACTGAGGAAGGATATCTGATCCCAGCTGAAGAACCTAAAAGAGAGACAATGTGTATATAAATGACTTGAACATCTCTGTACAGTTAGTAATGAATTCAAACTTACTGGAAGTCAAACCACAGCATATTTTTCATGACTCCTGGTTTCAAGACCAGTCAAACCCTAAAGTTTTGTCACTCTCTTCTGAGTTGTACCAAAGTTTGTTTAAAGGAAGTTAATCTTTCTGCTGTTCTATCTGGCTTTCTCTCCAGTGGCCAACTGTTGGTTCACAAACTGGCCCCCAAACACCAAGGGCAAGGAGAGAACAAAGAAAAGGACAGACCACTCCAGATCGTTAGGTGGCAGTTTAATAAGCAAGGGAACATACTTACAAGGCTTGTCATAAGAAACAGTAAGACGAGTAGACCTCCGCACCCACCTACCAGAATCTTAAAAGCTTAATAGATACCCTAACTGGATCCAGTCACATATACAGTCCAAATGGTCTCATCCTACTCTTTCAAGGCTATGTCCTTGAAAATGGCTCCCACTGTGGGAATGGTTGGCAGAGTGTACATTCCAAGGACCAGAATGAGGAGCCTCCAATTGCCTGGGTCCAGTTCCGGGGTCAGCCAGCAGTCACATCCTCTCAATAACTTCCTCTAACACCAACACTGATCCACAGCTCTGCTGGATGTCCACTTCTGGGATTGCTTTCTGTACACTCACTTGCAAGCCTGCCTAAAATCACACATCTCTGATTGTCCAACAGTTATTTGGGTGACTCACCGTTACCCATTTTTCACACATACTTAGCACCTCAGGGAGCATAACTTTGATTCTGATGGCCTCGCTGAACCCCAGGACCACACTGTTGGTGATCTTGCTGTTGAGTGGGACTCAGCAAGAGCCCTAATGAGCAGCATAGTGATAACAGGGTTGTAAGTGTTATAGCCTGCTTTTTCCTTTTCTCCCTTCAATCAGGACTTAAAGAATTGTGTTTCCTGTCCAGATGCATATTTGCTTTGGAAAAAAGAAAATGCTAAATACTCAGGTTTGCTTCTCCATACCTTTTTGACAGATGGAAAAATTTCACTGCAAGGTTATATGAACCTTGACTTACTATAAGCAGGTCTAATTAAAGAGACAAAGGGAAAAAGCAGATGACAGAGCAAGAGTAGAGGCCTGGGCACTGCTGGGCAAAAGTAACAAACACAGACTTAGCATTGCTTTCCAGGACCTGGAACTTGGAAACTGTGAAAAAGAGTTGAAGGAATAGATCAGAGAGCTCTATTCCATGCCATCAATGAAGCTAAGGCTGAATAAATCTATGTGTTAAGGAATTTGTAAATGGGACTTTGATAAATATTTCCAGCAGCTTTGTCATCTTATATATCCAAGTGTTCAGCGTCTCTAAGACTAATGGGATCCAGAAGGTAGCAGTCAAAAAGTTATCATAAGGTTATAAATGCATTAAATATTTGAATATAAGAATAGACATAAACAAAAATACCTATTAGCAATAACTCATACGCCACAAAACAAAACAAATATACTAGCACTTCTTGAAACTCGACAATTATCCTGAAAAGTTTCTCTTGTGCATAGAACTTACATAACTGAAAACTAAGTATATAATACCCATTATTAATATTTGAAATGTGAAAAACATCACTAGTATTCTCAATAGTTGTGTATTATAACTTTTGTTGTTTGTTTGGGGGCTATCAGAACTATTTAGAAAGATTTTTATGTATTTATCCTCATTATCAGTGCCCCAGCCATATTTCTCCCATAAGGCCTTAGATTACTTAGCAACAAATTTTCCTACCAAGAATGTAAGCTTCATGTTGGGATAGAGCATTATGTAGACAGAATCAAACAGAATCATGGCTTCTCTTTCTCTTTATAGCCACTGATCAATCCATTCCAATTTCACCATGTTAAACGTGAAAATTTTCTTCATAGTCAATGTTAATATTTTACCATCTATATTTACACAGCGTATAGCTGAAGCACAAAGAAATCAGACTTAGAAAATAAACTCAAGTGCCAGGGTGCATTTATGACCTTCATGGGCCCTAGGCATTTTTGCCTTCCTGGACCCCTTTCTCCATAAAAAAATAAAATAAAATAAAAATTGCATTTTACAACTGCATTGTTACAAAGAAGAATAAATTATTATAAATCCAACTTTTTTACCTAAAAGTTCAATTTTTCCTTCTACTGTTACTAGAAATTCAGACATCCCATGGACCCCTAAAAATGTTGTGGTCCCACACACTGCTTATAGACAAGTTGACCCTGCTCAGCACGCTGGCAGAACATAAGATGTCTTCTCTAGAGATGGAATTGGATCACTCCTGAGGTTAGTATTCCTTAAATCTGGCTACAAACTAGAACCATCAGGAGAAATTTTTTAAACGATGATATACTCATATCTAGAAATGCGCCCCCACTGACAATTAAATTCATCTTGTGCGATCTCTATTTTCAAAACCTTTCCTGAGTGATTATAATGTACAGTCCAAGGTAAAACTCTTGTCTGATATTTCCTTAGACATTCAGGACCCAGTTCTTCAGACAGTGACTTGCATATGTAAAAGGATCCAGAAATGCTACAAGAGTGGGAGGAGAAGCAAGCAGAGAGAAGGAGGAGGAGGAGCATGGCATCAACCACAAAGGGACACTCATGCTCCCACTTTGATCTCTCTCATATGCAGAGCACGACTTTAATCTTCACTCTGACTCTGGGGAGCTTTTATAAAGCAGTGAGTAACAATCCTTCATTTTCGTTGCTAGTCCACTTGTACTTTGAGAAGTGATGAGCCTTAGGTGGAGGGGGATGAAAACACATTTTCAGATTATTTTTGTACCAATACAAACACGTTCTTTCTCTCTGAATATCTGAGAGCACTGACACTAATAGAATCAGAACCAAGGACATGGCATTGGGACGGATATTTATCTTCACCCCTGTAAAAGTGAAAAGCTGAAGCCAGTCAGCAGGAAGTCAGTTCTTGTGGACCACTGATGAACTACCTACAAGGAGACCCCAGATCTTTGAAACCAGGAACTGCCTCCAAATGTAGGTGTCCCGACGGCACTGTGATAAAATGTATATGTCTTGGAAAAAGTGAACACCTGAAGTTCAACAGCACATCCAAATAGTCAGGTTGAACAAATTATATGACTCTGAGTAAAACTTTTGAAATGATATCCTTCTGCTAACTTGTTGCTTCTTTTGGGTCAAACTTTGGACTAAGAGCACATGCAGACAAAATATCTTTTGAAAATCTCATTATTTCTTCAGGTTCTCTGAAATCAAGCCTATGACCTGACAGAAAACAGTTTTGTATCTGAGTCAGGTTTGTGAATTAGAGATGACCAATAAAGAAACTATCAATAATCCAAAGGCGATGCAAAAATAAAATAAAATCAGATGGGAAGAAACAGGGGTGAAATTTCCTCAAAAATAAAAGTAAAAAATCATGTGCTATTGAGGGGAAAGAAACTTCCCACTTGATGCAGAAGGAAAAAAACAATGAATGTTTCAGGGTGCTAAAGTAAAAAATTTTCCTCTCTATGGTCCCTTCCTCTTGTTCTTGCCCAGTTGTACAACGGAGAAAAGAAAAACTCTGAATAAGGTATTGTTAAGACCCAGAAGGAATCATGACTATGAAAGTCAGCAGTCACAGAAACATGTCCCTCCACTTGAGCTTGATTTGTAGAAAAAAAGGGACAACTCAAGGCAGAAAAGAAAGCTTTAAAATCAAGTAGTACTTTATAACAAGCATCACTGACAAAGGAAGTTGTATCTACTAACCTGCTTTAAATCTTGTCCTAATTGCATATTGTCTTTTAAAATATTGTGATTATTATTATTAGTTAATATTTAATTATGTTAATGTCTAACCTGGGCTTTTAAAAACCTGATTGCACATCTAAGTATTAATCTCTCCCCAGGCTACCAGTGCTATTTAGAGCAGAAAGCCTTCTAAGTCCCCTGTTAGCTATGGTCCAAGAAAAATCCAGAGTCCTCCAAATTCAAGGAACAAACTTTACTTCCACACCCTCTCCAAACCAAATTTAATATCTGCCACTAGTTTAGAAAGTTACTCTGGAGCTCTTCAACTCACTTTTCTCCAGCAGAGCAAACTGATGAACATATATACTTAATTTCATCTTTCTCTTCTTTGGTAAGCTACCTCAGAATATTCTGTGAGTGCCCACTAAGTGCTTAGCCAAGCTTTTGTAGTTTAGTTAGCTTTTAGCATCATTCACACCAGGAAGACAAGTGATGATTACAGAAGACACATGAACAACAAAGCTTTTAGCGGCCCTGGAGTTCTGTCCTCAATTCCTTTTCTCTCTGGTTTCAATATACTTTCTCTGGGTAACATCATCTAGTCCTAGGGCACCAAGGCCTGAAATTCAGACCCAGATATCCCTCCAGAGCCAGACCTAGAAATCCCTCTGCCTTTTTTTTTATTATTATGTTATGTTAATCACCATACAGTACATCATTAGTTTTTGATGTAGTGCTCCATGATTCATTGTTTGCATATAACACCCAGTGCTCCATTCGGTATGTGCCCTCTTTAATACCCATCACCAGGCTAACCCATCCCCCCACCACCCTCCCCTCTAGAACCCTCAGTTTGTTTCTCAGAGTCCATAGTCTCTCATGGTTCATCTCGCCCTCCAATTTCCCCCCCTTCATCCCTCTGCATTTGAGGCATCTCCACTTGGATTTCCTGTCAGGCACTTTAAACTTAACATGCCCAAAACTGAACTCATTCCCATTGCCCCCAAACCTTCTCTTCCTTCTCTTATATTTGTCATTTTATTAGCCACAGTACTATCTATCCAGTTGTCTTTGACTCATCCTCTTTTTCACATTCAATTCTTATCTATCAACAAATATGTTGACTCTAATCTTGGAGTGTCTGCTATCTGCCCATGTCCATCTCCGGTTTCCTTGCTTGAAGCCATGGTCAATCTAGCTGATTTACTCTTAGGTTTTCTGAACTAGTTTCCCTATCTACCCATTCAACACAAAGCCTCTAGGTTTTTAATCATTTTTGTACCACAGATCCCTTTTGGTAATCTGATGAAATCTATGGACCCCTTCTTAGAATCAAGTTTTTAAATTAATACAAGAAAAACATGGCATTGCAAAGAAAACCATAGGGACCAATCTCCCTTTGAGAGGTTTCTCTAAAGCATAAATGTGATCTTATCATTTCCCTGGCACATGGGACACCAACCACCACTGTTTCACTCTACATAACTTTAACCTTTCCTTCACCTGACTTCACCCACACTGAACTCATATTCAAAGTCATCATACTCTCTCATCTCTGAGCCTTTGCACATGCTGGTCTCCCTGGTAGAAATGACCTGCATCGCTTCTTTACCCATTTCTCATATTTTTCCTTCAACATTCACTCACCCCAGGTATCACCTCACTCAGGTAAGCCTCCCTAGAGCCCCAAGTCTAGGCAAATGCTCTTGTATGTGTTCCCACTGCACCCTATCATCCTATTTATCATATCCTATTGTCAGTTTCTTCTGCTTGATCTTTAGTTCCTTGATGGTAGAGCCCATTGCTTATTCATCTTCACATCCTTTATAAAGTATCAGGCACAGAGAAAACTCTCAATGAGTGTGTGCTGCATACATAAATAGATAAAATGAGTGAACTTCCTATCTCATTTACTCAAAGAAAACCTCACCCTCTACAAATACCACTTGGGATGTCATGAACTAGTTTCTCATTTCAAAAATATGAGAAAATAAAAAGAAATATTTAAAATTTCTGTAATTCCATAAGGGAAAAATAATTAGAAGATAAGTACTTGTAAAATAATAACCAGAAATACCTATATTGAATCATTTGGAGGGAAAAAATGTACCACCACCACCATCTTGGGAAGGAAAGTTAGTCTCCCACTTACTTCAGCTAATCTTGAATGTTTGTGGACCACCTCTGTTTTATTCATTGGCGTGAGCTGCTGCAAAACACTTCGGCTATTTGTCAAAGCCCGCGTCAATCGGGCAAATTTTGTCCAACCTTAAAAGTAAGGAGAGAAAGTCTCAGTTTTTCACATATAATGAATATGGAACCCAACATTCTTGCTAATATTCAAAGGATCTAAGAAATAGCACAACATCCAGAACTAATAAAAAGTATCAATCTAAAGCATTTTATTTCTGCATAAACATCATCACATTTCAAGCGTAGCTATAAAGTAATGAGTAATTTTTATATGTGACCTTTGTGTTTTGCTCATATCTATTACACAGTCTCAGTAGCCAACTTACAGCTGCCCACAAAATTCTGTGCTCCCCCTTGCCTTATATAGATTTGTTATTGGAACACAGCTGCCCAGCCATGAATACACTTCCCAGCATTCCTTGCATCTAGCTGTGTCCATGTCCCTAGTTCTCATCAATGGAATAAAAGCAGAAATGAAGTGTGTCACTGCTACACATGTGCATGCCGCAACATAAGAAGCAAGTGAGACTTCTCTACACTTTCTTCCTCTTTCTACCAGCTGGATGCAAGTGACAACAAGGCCCCAGGGAGAGGTAAAGCACTGAATCAGTGCACAGAAGATTGCCATATGCCAAGGATCACCTGCCTTGGACTGTAATGTGAGCAAGAAATAGGCTTCTGTTGTGTTAAGCCACTGAAAGTTGGGGGCAGGAGTATTTATTATAGACTAATAAAAATAGTTCTACTGTGCATTGTGTGCAGATATATACACATAAGAAAATGAAGCCCAATTTTGACAAATCTCACATATTATGGTGCTTATCACACTTCCATCTTTTCTTGTTACACAGAAAAATGTTATTTCTCTCTTAACAACTACAGTGATAGCTAAAGATCCTTCCTTAAATATCTAGAATCCCTAATATTGTTTTCTGAAAGAGTAGTAATTTTAACTTCTGGGGGAAAGGGATGTGAATTTAATGAGAAAGAAATTTCTTCTGAGGGCGCCTGGGTGGCTCAGTTGTTAAGCATCTGCCTTCGGCTCAGTTCATGATCCCAGAGTCCTGGGATTGAGCCCCACATTGGGCTCCCTGCTCAGTGGGAAGCCTGCTTCTCCCACTCCCACTCCCCCTGCTTGTGTTCCCTCTCTCGCTCTCTATCAAATAAACAAATAAAATCTTAAAAAAAAAAAAAGAAATTTCTTCTGAGGCCTCAAATTCCTGTTATTAAAATAATTAATTTCAAGGAAATGTGAATAAGTAGAGCAAAATTAACCATACTCGGGCGCCTGGGTGGCTCAGTTGGTTAAGCGACTGCCTTCGGCTCAGGTCATGATCCTGGAGTCCTGGGATCGAGTCCCGCATCTGGCTCCTTGCTCGGCAGGGAGCCTGCTTCTCCCTCTGACCTTCCTCCTTCTCATGCTCTCTGTCTCTCATTCTCTCTCTCTCAAATAAATAAATAAAATCTTAAAAAAAAAAAAAACTAACCATACTCTGGTCCTATCTCAATTATCCTTTCTCTACATATCCCAAAGACTCTAATTTATTAAAGATTCCATTAAGACCATGTGATAATTTCTATGCTAGTGCCCCTAACTACGTTATTTGTCAAATAACTCCTTAACAAGGAAAAATCCTGCTGGTCCCAAGGAATGACTGTAATGGCAATGATGAAATTTCAAACAATGTGACAAAAGATGAAGGAAGAAATCCTGGGCAGACACCTGTCAAATGTCTTTCAAACTATACTAGGTAGATGACATCATACTTTACTACCATTCTTCAGGCTAATTCTGACTTCAGTTAAGCTTTGTATTTCCCTACCAATTCAGCTCCCTCTATGGTATCCAACAAGTGGATTAGAAAATAGGTAAACTGGCATCAGTTGGTAGAAGGTCCTTAATTCTTAATTAATGGACTTTATCCTAGTGGCTAGAAGAAAAAAAATGTTAGGCCTTGAGAATTGTACGTAACCCTAAGGTTAATTCTGTGTATTGTGCTAAAAAAAAATTTAAAAAAAGGAAGCACCAGATATGCCACCAGCTCTCTAAGAACTTAACATCAATGTAAAAGACCAATATGCAATCTCTATCACCAATCTAGACTCTTCTTCTGAGGACTAGACCTATCTAGTATCTAATCAGCCATTAGCCACCTCTTACTAAGATAGTCTAGGGCGCCTGGGTGGCTCAGTTGGTTAAGCGACTGCCTTCAGCTCAGGTCATGATCCTGGAGTCCCGGGATCGAGTCCCGCATCGGGCTCCCTGCTCAGCAGGAGTCTGCGTCTCCCTCTGACCCTCCTCCCTCTCATGCTCTCTCTATCTCATTCTCTCTCTCAAATAAATAAATAAAATCTTTAAAAAAAAAAAAAAAAGATAGTCTATAGGCTTCTGACAACATGTCCAAAATTGATCTCATCATCTTCTCTCTCCATCTCCAACTCCACATCTTTCATGTATTCCTGGACTTGGTGAATGGGCCCATGATATTTCCATTGCCCATATCAGAAACTTGAAATTTACCATCCTCCTTCACTATTATCTCCACATCCACATATTCAATCACTTCTAAGTCTTATAGACTATAACTTATTAATAAATACTCAAGTTGAATCTCCTCTCTCCATCCCTATATGTCAGACAGTATATCATCTTCCACCCGTGCATCTTAAAGACTATACTCTCTATCTGCTCACTGACCATATACTCCCCAAGCAACTCTCTACATTGCTGCCAAAGTGCTTTCTAAAGCACACAACTGGTCCACGCCCTTCCCTTATTTCACTCTTTAAGAGACCCCTTGAAGCCTTCAGTATAACATTGCATATCCTTGGTATATAGGTCATTTAGTTTCTGATCCCAAAGACTGCTCTGCATTCATCCCCTTCTACTTATTCATATATACTCTGTATTCCAGCCCTACTAAAATCAGTAGCAAATTTAAAAAAAAAGAATAAATTCAAAACTAAAATTAAATCTACTAAGAATTCTCTGTACACCCATGATATTCAGTGTTTCCAGGCTTTCATGCATTTACTGGCACCTTCAGACTCAGTTAAAGCATTATCTCCTTCTGGAAGCTTCTCTGATCCACTCATAGTGGTAAGAGTATCTTCAGATGACAGTAACAATGTTGGCACCTGAAATATTTCTTGTGATCATTTCTCTTTCTTACTTCAACTGGATTTATAATTGCATTGAATATTTCTAGAAACTTACAAGGCAATGTTATACTTATTGAAGCTTCATTTTCCTAAGACAAGTGATGTTACACATCTTAGTACTTCTGAGTACTGGATTTAGAAAGAAGCCCATTTTTATTCCCAGAGTTCAATAAGGTTTATCCAGAAAATATTTTGAAAAAAATTAAAAGAGATATTGGAGGAATAAATTCATTGACATATAGAAGAATACAAATCATCAAATGGCATGCGTTCTCTCATTTCCTAGGATAATGGCTAGGGTTAGGGCTTTCTTATAGTCCTCAGTTCTAAACAGTTAGCATTTTTTTCAAGACCCCTATACCACCCCTTTCTCCTCACTCTCAGATTACCTTGTCAAATGTTATTGAATAAACAGAAGCCATAAGAAACATAATAGATAGCCCTCAATTTCCTTTCTGTCCCCTCCATCTCAAGACCCATCTGTATGGCACTGATTCTTGCCTGCACCTTTATCATCTCAAAGTAGTAGACATTTGCTCTTTTCTGATCATGCATATGTTCTATTCATGAACATTTAAGTAGTTTCTAGATTTTCACTATCACTAACAACACCACAGTGAATTTCCTTATACCTATCCCTTTGTGCCCTTGGACACATTCGGAATTGCCTATGTTATTAACTAAATTAGTTCATTTGATCTGTCACCAACCCCCACTATACAGTCAAACTTTGAAAAAGTCAAGCAGCCATACTGTCTAGGTCAGAGAAAAAAGACACATCAGCAGTTCTAACTTTTCCCAGTGATACATTTACTGATCTCACCTTTACAGAGACCTCACTGGTATAACTGATTATTCAGCACAGTTTGCTGATGTTACTTAGATGTGGTCGATATGGGGTAATGTGAACAGACAGCTGACTATGAAGAGCCTAATACTTGCTCTATGAGTTGTTCATGGAATTATGAGAACATTTGTTCTCCTAAAAGCTCAGGATGCCATCTCCTTCTTAATAAAACATTAGTTTAGCTCTATTGGGTTGCAATTAACCTCTTTATCATGCACTGCCTAATCTTAAAAATAAGAGAAAGTCACAGAGGCAGTTAAATCAATCTATTAGACTGTAACACAAGATTCTAATCTATACGAAAAAAGCTTAGGTAAACAATTATACTCTTGGCCAAAGAGACTACATGGCATAATTACTCATGTTTCATCTGTTGTTTCCTCTCTAAAGAAAACCATTGGCTTCCCACAGGGGAAGGTTGCTATTTTTGCTGTTAGCTTCATTCTGTAAGAATTTTTTTTGTCTCAATTATTGGCATGAAGATGCCATAACTATTTGGCACAGGATATTTCACACTGTGAGTGTCTTGGCAGTTTTGGAATCTGTTTGAAAATACCGTACAGGATAAATGGGCAGAGATTCTGGCCATCTCTTGTAGAACACATATGGATAATCAACGAAATGGATTTCTTGGCTGTAATTTTTCCCCTTTGTATTATTACAAATGATGAATCAGGTACCATTGACTGATTATTTGAGCAACAGTTCCAAGATCTCAGTACCAGGAACAAAAGATAACAAAAATTCTTTGCCCCCTTGAATTATTATCAGTAAATTTCTTGGTTCAAAACAGTTCAATTCTGTCAGAATCAGAGTGTTCTCAACATGTGCTTAATTGCTGTAGGAAAAAAGGTGAGCAGGCTATTAATGTGGCCAAACCACAATAATAAGTTTCCACTGGAAAGGATGAGACAGCATGGTGCAATAGAGAGAACATGGGATTGGAAATCAGTCACACTTTGCATGTCAGGATCTTCAACAGTAAAATGGAAATAATGATACTAATTTTCAGAATTATAGGAAAGAGCAATAAAGAACATAAACTTCCTGACATATAGTAACTACT